AAGGTCATATGTAAACAAGGTTTGCTTAGTGAAGACAATTTTCTGTTTGATTCACTGGTTATAGAAACAAAGAAAGTGATGGAGTCTGAAGTCTTTAAATGAAATTTCATTTGTTTAAAACAAAATGTATAAAAGCTGTCTTTGGGGTGTGACTGGACGTTCTAACACCAGAATGCCAACAAACATACGGTACGAATTGTTACTAAATACTTATGATGACAACGAAATTAATTCACGCACAAAGTCATGATTAAAATCTCATTGCAAAGTTTATGAGGTTATTTGAAGAAAAATAAGAGATAAATATCTTTTGAATTTGGAGTAATTAGAAGCTGTCACCAACGTTGAAAAGAGTAAAACACCTGTCAGTTTGTTTAGTGATCTTGTAAGGAACTATAAGAATGAATTAAAAGTAATAATCGGGAATAGAGGTTACATAATTGATTACTGAGGCAAGAGGACTAATAATATTCTTATGACACTCGTATAAGATCGTAGTGCTGTTGGAGAATGTTGTAAGAAAAACAACTGAAGAAAATCCAGTTTAGGTTTTTTTTTTTTTCCCTAATTTCAACTGACTCTTTGCTTACTTTACAACTTACTGTTTGACATGAAAATAAATTTTTGTTGTGGGCCGAACCGCTCATTCATTGAAATGAATTATGGACAAAGTAGAATTATGATAAACATAAACTCATGACGTATTCACACAAACACTGCATGACAGGAGAGATGCACGTGAGTTCTTCTTAGCCAGTGTAAAAAAAACAAAATACATTCCAAAATTGAAATACCAGAATTTTTTTCTCCTCCATAATGAAGCTTTAATAAAAGCGTAATATATTTATTTTATAAACATTTCTTATTTGATACTCACCCTATCATTCTGTCAGATAACAATCCATATTCCATCCTGTATTTGATCCCAATTCACACACATGCGCGCGCACGCGCGCACGCACACGCACGCACACACACACACACACACACACACACACACACACACACACATATATATATATATATATATATAGTGGAGGATTATCTGAAAAAAATAAACGGCTAAGTTCTAACAAACTAACTCGCCATGCGTGGAATTTAAATGATAAAAAATCAGCAGAGATCCGATTGTAAGATGGTAATTTTTTTAAAAAATGCGAAGACTTATTACAACCGCAATAGCATTTGCACCCTCTGCTAACATGAATAATTAGCAATAATGGCATTTCCGGTTCCAAAAAAACATTTTGAACCAGAGATCCGAACTCATGAACCGTTGAATACATACAAAAAAATCCTCTTAAGCTCAATAAATTCTTCTTCTTCTTCTTCTTCTGCTGCTTCTTCTTCTTCTTCTTCTTCTTCTTCTTCTTCTGCTACTGCTGCTCCGCCCTCTGCAACTCTGAATCATGTAGTAGTGTCTATAAACATCTCCATCCGCTGTCCCACCAGGCAAGAACCTCCTAATAATAGAATATCTTTCTGTTACCAACGAACGGATTGGAACACATTCCGTGATTTCCTTTGTGACGTCCCCTAAATTAAAGTTTTTAATCATCCTGTTCAAAGGTCTCCTCCTGGGTGAAAACCGTCGTCGATGCTTTCAATCCAGGAAGAATATACCAAGTTAAATCGCCTTCATCTTCTTGGTTCTCATTTGTAAGCTCGCCCGCTATAGCCGACAGGAATCACTTCTTCCGCCTGTACCAGACCGACACGTCAGATTGCAACATACGTCTCTTTATCTCTGCTCATAATGAGCGCAAGCACCTCCTAAAAGTTACTGTTTTCTGATAGAAGGAAGCAACGTATAGCATTTCGCAAGTTTGGTTCTAGAGGTTATTGGCGATTCTCCAAGAGTGTGCTGAATCAACAGGAAATACTCAATTCCTCCTCTTTTTAATCAATTCGAAGTCCTGACATCTACAGTAGATAAAGTTAATTGCTTTGCTCGGATGTTCTCTTCCAACTCAACACTCGTCTCGTTCGGGGAACCTTCTGGCCCCTCTAACTATTGCACTTCCGGCAAAGTATTCGAGGCTTTAATCAATGCTGGCATACCCTCTCGACCTACTCTCTAACAAAAAATACGGCTTCCGTTTGTCCGGTCATCACTGAATATATATATATATATATATATATATATATATATATATATATATATATATATATAATTATTTATTCGAAAATTATAATATAAATATGTTATAAAATCACTACAAAAATAGCAAGCGTGCCAAATCCTGTCAAACGCCTTCGAGATATATAGAGCCACCGATCGAGCTTCGCCGTTATTAAAAAGAGCTTGATAGACTCACACACACAGACACACATACATATAAATACATACATACATACATATATATATATATATATATATGTGTGTGTGTGTGTGTGTGTGTGTGTATTTGTGTGTGTGTGCGTGTAACAATCTCTTTTTAATATTATATATATATATATATATATATATGTAATATATTTTTTATATTTTAATATAATATATATGTATATATATATGTATATATATGTATATATGTGTGTGTGTGTGTGTGTTTGTGAAGCTCTTTTTGATAACAGTGAAGCTCTTTTTAATAACGGCGAAGCTCGATCGGCGGCTCTATATATCTCGAAGGCGTTTGACAGGATTTTTGATCTTCTACGTAAATTCCAGGGCTACGATTACAGGATGATTGTTTGATTTAATCAAATCATTCCTTTCAAATTCAAGGTCGTTTTGAACGGTCTCGCTTCCAGATGCTTTCGTACGAATGCGGGTGTTCTATCCTGGGGCCCTTCGCTGTTCCTGGGTTTCATCAATGACCTTTCTGTTCTCATCCGTTCCCAAACAGGCATTTATGCAGATGATATTGCTATTTCCTCCCGTCTCATGAGCAAATCCGTCAGAGCTAACAATGGTAACCTGGCCGATGATTTCGAAAAGAACCTCCAATCAGTGGTTAACTAGGACTTGAAAATTCTAATGCCTCCAAAACGAATTTGCTCTCATTTAAACACCATAGAGAAACTTTCCTGTTCGCTATCAACATGGGAGAGCAACAAACATTACCTTCTTAGCCTTACGTTTTCAACTGACTTGAAGTGGAATGACAGCAACAAATCAATAGCTGCATCTACTGCAAGGAAAGTTGGATCACTGTGTCGTGCCAGAAGGCTTTTTCTTGTCAGAGTCCATTTTGCTTTTTACAAAACAACCATTCGTCCCTGCATTGTTTACTGTTGCCATATATGATCTGGGGTTGCTGTTATTCATCTTAGGTTTTTTGACAAAATCCAAAAAAGATCTGCAATGCAATCGTTCCTGGCATGACATCTCGACTCCAGTCAATTCCTCACGGAGGGGATGTGGCTTTCCTTTGTCATTTTACACATAATTTCATGGAATCAGCTCTCACGTTTTTTTTTTTTCCGCAGCTGCCCCAAATACGTGAATCTATGCGTGCTACTAGATTGGCCCACACATTTAATGTTAAAATGTTTGAATGTAACCGCCACTTCTATTCCAACAATTTCCTTTCTCACACATCCCGCACGTGGAAATGCCTTCTGTTTACATGCATCCCTGAGAGCAACCATCTTCAAAAATTAAAATGCAACGTCAATCGCTATCTTCTATCTTCTCGAATACCGTCCGTTCTATTGCTGTTTCTTCTCTAACACTTCTCGCATATGGAACACTCCTACTCATAAGGTTTTTCTTCGTATATTGTTATCTTCCTGTGTAGCTTACATTGATTCTCTTTGGATTAATATCCTCTATGGAATTATCCCTAGCAATTATAAACTGGAATTATATATATATATATATATATATATACATATATATATATATATATATATATATATATATATATATATATATATATATTTAAATAAATTACAAAAAATTATGTCTGCTTATTTTAGCATAATCCTTTCATATTCAAGAATATTTTTCCGTGCTTTATAATCAAATGAAGAAAAAATCCACTGTACCTGTTAAAATAATTTTTATTTCCCTTTTACAGTGCATTTTTATTTTCAGTGTTACAGTAAATTTCATGTCTCATTTGATTGTAATACACAGAAACATATTAATATATATATATATATATATATATATATATATATATATATATATGTGTGTGTGTGTGTATGTGTGTGTGTGTGTGTTATATATATATATATATATATATATATATATATATATATATATATATATATATATATATATATATATGTACACATCCACAGACATAATGTTTCGCTGTATTACATCTCCTCAGTGTGGTTAACGTCCTATTGCTTCAAGCCGGGATCGTTATATATATATATATATATATATATATATATATATATATATATATATATACACGCACACACACACACACATATATATTTATATATATATATATATATATATATATATATGTATGTATATTGAAAACTTTTGGACTGATGTTGTAGTTAAGAATTAACTGTAAATTTTACTTTTTTTCACCCTTCATGAGACCGTGTTCGAATTGCCTCCCTTGTTTTCCGGTTTTCATCGAAATAATGCCGTTCTCCCCATGCTCTCTAAAATGCCATTATCGAGATAAAAAAAAAGAAAGGTCATCAAGTTCCCTATTCCAGATAGAATTCGGCCAAACGGAATATAATGCTTATGACTTTTTGCCTCGAAGACTTCCAGTTTCCTGATCGCGTGTGGGTGTACTGATGCAATAATGTCACTTTCTTAGCGGTCGGAATTATTACGTGTGAAACGAAGAGGAAAGGTTACCCGGTTTTTATGGGACATTTGCAAAAACGGTTCAGACATAGTTGTCATTACCTGAGTTTTAATATCTAGTATGGTAATTTATAACAGTGCATGCACACACACACACACACACACACACACACACACATATATATATATATATATATATATATATATATATATATATATATATTTGCATTTATTTTCTCTCTATCTTTAACGATCTTTGTTCATATCTAAGTATACACAAATCTATCTATCTATCTATCTATCTATCTATCTATCTATCTATCTTAGCATGTTCATATCTAAGTATACACAAATCTATCTATCTATCTATCTTTCTATCTATCTATCTATCTATCTTAATCTGTTCATATCTATTTCAGTATACACAAATCTATCTATTATTAACCCGTTGATATCAATCTCTCTATATAGGTGTCTACGTAAGTCTTTTCCTATCTAGTTCAGTCTAATCATATATAACTCTTTCGTTTCGGCTTCGTCTATCTATCTATCTATCCATCTATCTATGTTCACCCTTGACAAGGACCAAGAGCTACACGGTGTAGACGGTTACACAGTAAAGATTAATGGGGAAATAATTCATGTGGGGATAAGAGTTGAACATATACTTGAAAAAGTTAAGATTGTAGTGATCTGAGAAGCGTCCTCTTCAGTGTCGTTTCCCCGAGGCAGTAGTACGAGGAAAACAGCTGCACGTATCGAACTATAAGTTCACACCAATGGAATATGAAGTGAACGAGGCTGGTTCGCTACAAGATGCGTAGCAGGGCTCATCTTAGCCGCAAATGTTAGAACTGCTGAGACTAAGGAATGTATTTCGTCTGAACATTTTCCATTGAAATAGCGATAGAACAGCAAGAGACTTAAGACGTTTCGTCTTTGAGAAAAAGGTAGCAGGACTGAATATAGTTCGACCGTCACAAGCATGCATGAATGGTTTTTTAGGCTATCGGGTGTGAAAAGTGAGGACTGAGCTTCTCCTTTCCATATATTGCAGCAGTTATCCCATTTCGACCTGATCTGCTTCATGTAAACAGGATGAGTCAGGTACTTACAGGTTGAGTTTAACTTTCTCATGCACAAAAATAATAAAGAACACAAGAAACTTAATTTCCTTTGGGAAAATTTAGAGACCTGTGATACGAAATGTTCATCGAGATAAAAATAATTGACAAATAATTGACCAATCTCTTCAAATTTACTAAATTTATAGCCAGCATATATATATATATATATATATATATATATATATATATATATATATATTTGCTTTTGTGTGGGGGAGAGAGAGAGGTATAAAGAGTCAGTGTGTGTGCTGTTAAATAGATCGCTAGAGTGATAGAGAGGAGCACACTGATAAATATATGAACAGATTGAGATAGATCGATATATTGATAGATATGAACAGAGATAGATAGATAGATAGATAGATAGATGAGAATTAAATCGATTACTCACCTAAAACACCTTATCCTTCCTTTTCTTGTTCTTTATCTTTATTTTTTTTTTATTTTTCTTCTTTACTTTCCTTTTATCCCCTTCTTTTATTTCTTTTTCTTCTTTTACTTTATCTAATTTTTTTCTTTTTTTTTCTTCGATTTCTTTTTTCAATTTTTCTACTTTTTCTTTTTCATATCTTTCTTTTTGCTTCTTCATTTATTTTTCCGCCATATTTTTTTTTAATTTTTTCATTCTTTCTAATATTCTTCTGCTCGTCTTTTCTTCCACAATTCTATTTTTCCATCTTTTCTTTCTTATTCTTCTTCGTTAGCTTTTTTTCTTATTTGTCTTTACTTCTTTCACAATTTCTACAATTTTCTTCTTTTTCTTCTTCGGTGTCGGTTCCCTCATCATTATTTTTGTTTACTTCTTCTTCCTTCTCATCTTCCTCTACATCCTACACTTCTTTCTATTTCTTATACATTCACCTCCTCCTCTTCCTTTTCTTCTTCTTTTTTCTCATCTCACTCTTCTCATCTGTTCCTACTCTTCCTCCTTCTTCCTTTGTTTCTCCAACTCCTCCTCTTATTCTTCCTCTTCCTTTCATCCATCTGTGTCTTCCTCCTCCTATTCCAGCTCCTCCTCCTCCTCCTCCTCCTCCATTTACTCCTCTTCCTTTCTTTTTCTACATCCTTCAAATCATCAATTTACACCTTCTTTCTCCTCCACGACTTCCACCTCAACGCCCTTCTTCTACTTCTTCCTCGCCCGCCTCCTAGTTTTCTTCTTTCTTATCCACCACTTCCTCCTGTTTTCTCCTCCTACTTTTCACCTGCTATTTTCCTCCTTTATCTTCTCCTCCTTTTGTCTTCTATTCCTCCTCCCCCTCTTCTTCTTCTTCTTCTTCTTCTTCTTCTTCTCCCAATTATTCCTCCTCTTTACTTCTTCTTCGTCCTTCACCTCTTCATCTTACTCTTCTTCTATTACATATACATCCACTTCCTCCACCACCTCCACTTCTTCTTCTTCTTCTTCTTCTTCTTCTTCTTCTTCTTCTTCTTCTTCTTCTTCTTCTATCTCCTTTTCTTCCTTCTTGTTCCTTCTCCTCTTCTTCTTCTTACTCCTCCTTTTCCCCGTCATCTACTTCCGCCTCCTCTTCCTTCTTCTTCTTCTTCTTCTTCTTCTTCTTCCACGTCTTTCCTTCTTCTTCGCCATCCACCTCTTCATCATACTCTTCTTCCACCTATACATTCACTACCTCCATCATCTCTTCTTCTTCTTCTTCTTCTGCCATTTCCTCCTCTTCCTTCTTGTCCCTTCCCCTCTTCTTCCTCTTCCCCGTCATTTACTTCCGAATTTTCTTCTTTCACCCTCTTCTTCTTCTTCTTCTTCTTCTTCTTCTTCTTCTTTCACTTTGAATTTCCCCCCCCCCTTCATTTTCCTTCTTCCTCAGATTAAAAAAAGAAGATAAGGAACAATAGCATTTTTAACACACAGGCCACACAAAGATAAAAATCGATACATTTAAGCTTTACGTTTTCTCAATTCAACTGACTTTTTAGTGACAACCTTCCACTAATAATCTTTTCACAAAAATAGAGATTTTTTTTTTGCTTTTTTTTTTTGCTTTTTATTTCAAATATGTGTGAGTTTTTCGGTAGGCAGCAAAAAAACGATACATCTAAAGCGACTTCTGAAAAAAAAAAAAAAAAAAAAACTATGGCGACAAAAAGTATCCAAGTAAATAAAATAAAGAATTGGTGGTGGGGAATAGGGAAATGCAATGTTATATTTGGAGCCGGAAGGTGCAATGGGGGGGGGATACTTACCCCTACCTTTACCGGCTTTCATTCTTCCTTGATTCTTACAAAAGGGACCGTTCTGTTATCAGCAATTGTCTTGTCAGAATATCGGAATTCGAAAAATGTTATAGCTTTTGTTTCAGGACAATTAGAAAAGGAACATGCTCCACATATACACCTATGTAGATAAAAATATATCTATTTGATTACATAGACAATATATATATATATATATATATATATATATATATATATATATATAACTTGATTTATGTGTTAAATAATAAAACATAATTTATAGTATATTCACTTGAAAATATATGTATATATATATATATAATAATGATAATAATAATAATATATATATATATATATATATATATATATATATATATATATATATATATATATATATATATATATATATATATACGGAGTGATAAGTGGTCAGTTAGTAATGCTGACTAAATAGCCAGTGACTTTACTTTTTTTTTCTTTGAGGTTGGTTAATGGAATAAGTCTACGATACCAAAATAAGATTTTGAAAAAAACTTGAAATGCGAATTTTCCATACCAATATATTTCCCGGTGAAATCACTTGTCGCGATACTTGGTCGGCAATAGAAGCTTATAGAGAAATCTGGTACCCCATATCGAACATAATATAAGACCTCATGATAAATGCTTTCCACTTATAGCTATTTCTTGTAAAATTGATAATTAATAAATATATTTTAAAATGGGTAATTACTTTTCATTCACACATAAAGATATATATATATATATATATATATATATATATATATGAAAAAAAATATATATATATATATATGAATATGAAATTAAAAAAGAAAAACGGTCAAAAATCTTCATAATAAATATTATTAATGTTAAAATAAAGTCGACGATGGACGTTTCCATCTATTTACTATAAACAATAAATCTTCATGGACATTTTCATTTAAACATCGTCTTTTGTGTTAACATTAATGTTAAACATAACAATTTAACACAAAAAGACGAACGTCCGAACCCAACTAATTCAAACATTAATAAAACCTAATAAATATATGTTTTACAAATATTTTTTCTTTCATATGTTGGATTTATATCCATATATTTGCTTACATATATATATATATATATATATATATATATATTATGAAATGGACAAAGTCCGACAATTATTTTAAGACTTTTTATTTTTATACATTCTTTTTATAGATACAAATATTTAAGTAAATGCTCTATTTATAATAAACAGTATTAAACAACATTTACCGGCCTGTGTGTGTGTGTATGTATAAACACAGACACACACACACACACATTTTACATAAATAATTGATATTAATGCTTAAATCATATATATATATATATATATATATATATATATATATATATATATATATATATATGCAGAGAGAGAGAGAGAGGGAGAGAGAGAGAGAGAGAGAAAAGTATGTCAACCTCAATGTGTTATTTATTGCCGACAAGATTTGTATTGCTAGTAATATTTTTTCATTCTTGGTAATATTTTTCTTCAAAAATGTATTGCTGGTAATAATGTATTGCTGGTTAAAAATTTTCCTCAAAAAATTGATTGCCGGCATTAAATCATATTTTTATACTTTCTTAGTGTTTTGACCCCAGTTTGGTGTTAACTTTTAGAATTCTAGCTATGGGCAAATAGTTGACCCCAAAACTGATGTCAAAACACTATTAAAGTGTAAAAATAGGTTTTAATATCAGCAATACTTTTTGGGAAAAATTATTACCAGCAATACATTTTTGAAAAAAAATATTAAAAAAAAAAAAATTTGTCAGCATTAAATAAAAAAAAATAACCCATTGAGGTGTTGATATGCCGTAAAACAAACTTCACCGGTTGGTTTACAAAATTGAACGAAACGTAAAATCTCGATAAGAATCTAAAAGATAACGTCAGCAATCTCTATCTATAAAAGGCAGTATGTGTGTGTGTGTGTGTGTGTGTGTAACGAATGCACGGGCGCAATTTTCGACGGATTTGCACCAAAATTTACATGCACATGCTCCAAGTTAGCTGATATGGCCAAGACCGACTTTGCATTTCTCAACTCCCATCGATAGTGGAAAAAAATCGATTTTTTCATGCTTCTACGACTGTTTTCATGTAGTTTGCGGCCATTTTCTACTGGCCAGAGTGAGAGCCAATAGCTGGCTGCCACGAATAGGCAGGAAGATTCTATTGGCCAGCGTGAGAGCCAACAGCTGACTGATACGAATGTTAAATAGCATGCTCGCTTGCAAAAAAAAAAAAATCGATAGCTGCATTCGTCACAAGTGGGAAAAATTTAAATCTGCATGACACTTTACTTCAATTGGCTCATTTGCTTGCTTAAACTCAACGTTGATTCTGATTCCGCAGAACTGGGTTGGGTGTGAGAAAGTATTTGTTGTCAACATTCTTTTTCATTCGGTTTTTTCCAGTTACGAGTCCTTTTTAAAGCTGATCGTTTTTGTGTTCATTTTGTTTAGTTCTTTTTTCGTAACAGATTTAATGTTTAGTATAGAGCTTAGAAAAATTCGCAGTGTGAGATAGGCAAGAAGTAAGGCATTGTAACAACATCAGCACGGCAAAGGACACTCCTTTAAAGGCAAGGAAGGGCAAAAATATTTTAAGTCAAGTGATAGCGATTGCTGTATGACTCGTAGGATTTTTTAATCAAGTATGGGCAACGCCGGGCCATGCTGCTAGTTCTAAATACTGTGAGGATTTTAAGACGTGCTTGAAAAAAAAAAACAAGTGAATTGAAAATATCGGATAATGAAAAATACTGGAGAGATAGAATCCAGAAGAAATGAGTGCTTAACATGGAAATAAATACAATATGGTAATTGCTAGTAAAGAAAGAATGACAAATGACAACAAGTCTTCAATTGCCGCAGCAGTCAAAAGTTGAAAGCAGCCTAATCAGCAGCAGGTTAGTTTTAAGTCTCCAAGTCCACTACATCAAACTGTCTTACGGGACAATGTCCTATTAAATAAAAGCGTTGATTTGTAAGTTTCCTAACATAATGAGTGCGAGCTCAATACCTCGGTCGGGTAGTGCGTACTTGCACTCGTTTGGGACGACGAGCAATAACTGAACGATATCCCATGAACAGAAAGAAAGACACATAACAGCAATTCTTCAATCGCAGCAGCAGAAGTTACAACTTAATCAGCAGGTTGGTTAGGTTTAAATCTCCAAGAGAACGTGAAAATTACTCGACGAAGTCCGTAGGACACGACGATGACAGCAACAAATAAAATAATGCAATAGTCTGAATATATAAACAGTGTAAATAATGATTACTCCACATGCCAGACATTCACACAAATCTATATCACATTTTATTTACAGCTGTATAGTCTTCATCTTTTTAATAATTAAGAAACTTTAACATCTATCCTCTAACTGTATATTGTAATCCCACCGTCGTAAGTTTGTATCTGTGTATCTTTTCTATAAATACGTTCATGGTAATTGTTGGAATAAGCTATGCGCTATGGTAACAAAACTTTAAGTCAATTATGTGCCATGCGTGATACACGCTTAGGCGATCATGCATCTTTTGATATATGACTGACGAGGCAGATTCTTTTCTCGCAGTAGGTTGCCATTTCTTTCTGCAGTAGATCAGTTGCCATCCAAGGCTATAAAACCCGGTCTCTCCTGCTATCTTACTCATAGGTGTAGGGAGAAGAAGAGGATTCATACCTTTCCCAAGAGTATTAGCACATAAGTGAATGTAATGGATTTGATTGGATATCATGGACCGAGCGTGTGAGCAACGATAAGGTCTTAGAGAGGTTGCAAACAAGGAAGAGGCTTATACTTAACATCAGGAAGAGTCAGATGAAGCATATGGGACACATAATGAGGATGGAGAGCTTTGAAAATCTGATACTCACGAGTCGGATAGATTGAAAAAGAGACAAGGGAAAACAACGCATGACATACCTGGCGGGCTTAAGCAAGTGGAGGACAGAACGGGGTCTGGGGGAGGTGGCAGACGGAAGGAACTTGTTGAGAGCTGCAAGGGATAGAGGGAGGTGGAGAGCCATGATCGCCTACGTCTTGAAAGGGCATAGCACGTAAAATGAAAAAGAAAGACTCGACTGGATCCGAGATCTCATCAGTTTAGAGTTCAGCTGGCTAGATACAAACGTAAATTCTATGTTACCATTTTCCTTTCTTGAATTTCTCGCTTGTGGAACTGCCTTCTGGCGCCATACTTTCCAGCCAACTTTAAATGCAATATCAATTGCTATTTACTCTCCTGTTGACTACTCTTCCCTCTTTCCTCTTCTCTCTTCCATTATTAATGTTTCTGTTACTAATTCTTCCATACCCTGTAACCCCTTGGGTCTTAGTGGCTTTAATGTCTGTCATGGAGTAAAACCGATTAAAAATAAAAAATAGCAATGTTTATTTTTCATTTTCATTTCCAGTTTGTATCACTTGCAGTCGCCAATATATCGTCCACACGTCTTTTTTTTTTTAATCAGAGCGTACTTATTGACAAAACTTCTGGACGAACAGAGTTTCACGATTTCGTAGCATAAACAATTTTATGAGCCAGTTGTAGCACTCGGATATTAAGCAATATATTGATTTCATTGAATGA